TAGGCTTCCTGCTTGGAAATACGGAGTGTTTTAGTAATGATGTGGGGGGGGTTTAAATGTTTCCAGCTCTTAATCCGAGTGTGGATGTTTAAGGAGAAGTAAAAACTTACATTCTTGCAAATAGGTTTCAAATACTTATTTGTGGAGCTGCTAATTCATGTACTACGAAGGAATGCTTGTGTCAAGAGTTTTCCAGTGGGATTGATACTTGTGATGAATTGAAGAAATCATCCCAAACTGCCTTGGACATTGGGAAGAAAACCAGATTCTTGTACGGAAGTAGTTGCAGCAATGGGCTTAAAGGGAAGAAAGCACATACAGGTAACACAAGAGGTATCCCCTGCAGGGAATAGATATAGAACGAAAGTGTGCAAATGGGGCCAGGATGAGACAACAGGAAGCTCTTGAGGCCTGCTGAAGCTGAGAGACAGCATGCACTGCTTTCTGGAGATCTGTGTGCTTCCCATCTGCTGGCTGCCCAGACAAAACAGGAGAACCATCTGCCTCCCAGCTGGTCCGTCAGAAGGTGCCTACTGGGAGGCTCACGTGTTTGGGTATGGAGCCTGTCAGTCCTTGCAGCCCCGAGGTGGGACATGAGGATCAACTTGGAAAGAAGGGGGAGAGCAGGGTGAAGAGGAATGCATGCAGAGAGGGCTTTGCTGTTCATCATTAGGAAGTTGGTGTTGTCCACCTTATGTGAGGGTGCAACCTTCTTCTGGTGTCCCTTAAACAAGGAATAATGGTGTAAAACTGCTACCCGATTTTGATAGCATCTGACATGATCTTGCATCTGTTTGTCTTAACCTGTGTTAATTAATGAGTGGAAATCAGCTTAAAAGCCAGCACGCAGGAATCTCCAAGTTGAATGCTGACTTCCCTCATCATTCCTGAAAGCATGTACAGAAATGATTGGAAGAAAAAAGATTCCTGACCAGGATTGCCATCGGCTAGACAAGCATTAGCTGCTGTAGCGGAGCAAGATGAAAATGTCATCTTGCAGATTTCAATTTGCTATAAAATCAAGAGGTATTTTGCTTGGAAGCTTACTTTTGGTTTATGGATTGCTTATTGGCTTTTTGTTATCTGCTTTAAACTTTTATGAAAACACTTAGATTCACAACAATGCTTAACATTCAGGAGACCTCCTACCTTTTGTTTCAAAGGCTTAGTCTGGGATTTTTTTGGTTGTTTGCTTTGCATAATGAGTCATTAAATCATAAGAACCAGAAGGATTGCTGTGGAAGTTCTGCTCTCCCTTCTGCTTTGGCACGGGAAGCAGTGGCTGGGTCACGGGTACCACGGTGGAAGCCCTAAAGCTCGCTAGGTAGAGGGACAGAGCTGGTTCAGTCCTTAAGGAGGTTTAAGAACAGCAACTGTGTGGGTCCTTTGGCAGCCTTGGCAAGGGCCAAGGGTATTAACTCAGTGCAAGGATTGAAATAGGAATAAAGTTTTATTTTTAGCACTGGTCTCTTAGGGCATATTGGAAACCTGATCAGCAAAGGGAAGTGGTGTCGTGCTCAGTGAGGGACGCACTGCTGTACCTGCATGGTGCTTCCAGCCTGAGCTGAGCTGGAGGGTGGAACTGGGAGTTAGTTTTGTCTGGCACATCGCCTCCTGCAGCAGCCAGTTCCTGCTGCTTCCCCTGCTTTGGTTTATTCATGATTTCCTTGGCCCCACACATAGTGCTAATCAGTGATGAGGGTGCAGGAGGAAAACTGCTTCCCAAATTACCTGACCATTTTATGTACCTGTTTTACTATGCATGAGTACAGGTATTACTATCGGCCACGTGTGTGGCTTGTACTTCGATTAATATCAGGATTTAAAGGTAGACTACTGTAAAACAAGCACACACATTATACTGATCACATATTATAGCTGTGAAAGCCTTTAGTGACTGCTGTGGGAGGGGCAGCTCAGAATAGAAATGAGATTTCTATTTGCCTCTAAGAGACATTTTCTTCTCCAGGAAGTTTGCTGACTGTGGCCATGAAGGCACCCCTCAGTAATACAGGTTGTAGTGAAATGGTTGTTTCCCATTCTGGGCTATCCTGTTTAATGACAGAACTCTTAAGCTTATGTTACAGAGATAGAGTTAGTGGAAAATTCTTTGCAGGGAAGCATTGCTCAGTAGCAGGCTGCTACTTTCATTATGGAAAATGCTACTTTCATTATGGAAAACTAGGCCAAAAAATGAGGGGCATCTGTGCCAAAGAATATTTAAATGTATTAAAAATGCAGATTTCTTTTATCATATTAAAGCAAAACAAAATCTGTCCTCTTTTCAAGGTTGCAGAGTACAACAGTGTGCAGTTCATTTTCTCATACTGTAGGAGAATGTGGAGTTTGGAAATCACAGTTTCGTATTGTCAATTTATCATCAAATTGACAAGGGCTGTAAAACCTCTCTGCTGACCTGAGAGCTGGTGAAACTGAGCTCTTTTATCTTGGGGGGGGTGGGCTGTTCCCCTTTTAATAATCTTTGTCCTAGTCCTCAGTTCAGTTTTCATTCAGACTTTAGGGATTGCTTCTGTGTGACATGAAGGTGCACTCCTGGTGCCTTTAAATCTGCTCCTTCCCAATTTGTAAGCATGTTGTTTCTATGCAAATAATGAAGCATTGAACACAGAGTATTTCAACTGACATACAAAACCCCCTGACAGACAAAATCCTTTGGCTAAGTAGTTACAGCCTCTTTTCACCTCTGTGTCCTTTGCAAGCTGCACTGTTTCTGTAACCCACTTTCCTGTTCTCTAGAACCTCCAAGTAATCTTTTGCAACCTTAATTAATTAAGATGAACTGACTAATTGCTTTGCAGATATGACACATTTTTAAACGAGTGCCTTCTAATCATGAACATTATTCACATGTTTGTTTTTAAATGAAGAAATAAACACAAAATCCCTACATCCTATACAACAGGTTTGTTCAGCAAGATTTCTCATCAGAAAACACTTCTGCAAGTAAAATAAGGTGAATATTGCACCTCTTTAAATTGCAGCTTGCTGCTTGCGGTTGATTTGGATGTTTAAACTTGGAGAGTTGAGGCAAAATCCCAGTGTTGGTCTTAACTAAACCTGGTGTAGGTGTAGGATGAGTTCATTGTGTTGGGCTCCTCTCCCAGCCAGGCCGGGCTGACTCTGTCTCCCTGTACACCTCCAGTCTCCTCCCTTCCTGATGGGCACTGGAGATGCAACTGGGTTTCTGGATTTGGCTTCGCTTTAAATGGTATTTGAAGAATCTTATGTTCTTTCATCCTTTCTTGATCTATAAAGGTGTCATTGGATGTAAATGCCCTGGCTGTATGGTTTTGCTTTCAGAAAAGCCTGCAGTAGGCCAGTTTTTCCCAGGCTGTTTTCCCATCTGTTGAGAATATATAGTTTTGTTGGTAGAATGTTTGGGCTAGATTCCCATCCATGTGACATGCAACAGTGTGTAAATCAGCTTTTAGACTGACTTTTGGTCTGCCTAGTGAAAGTACAGTGAGCCTTTTTAGCTGTTCTCTCTGCCAGTTAACCTTAGTGTGTCACAGTATATCTGGTCTCTGACTTGTCTGGGAAGAGCCTCGGAGGTGTTTGGGATGGAACTGAGGAAGACTTCTGGTGCTGCAATGAAAAATTAATTCAAGACATGGCAACAGCTGCGGGTGACAACTGAGAGTTGCTGAATAAGGATTGTAATCTGCATTTATCACTGACATCACATGGGATTAAACACTTTGAGGTGATTGTTCTTGGGCACAGCCTTAGGGAGGGTTATTACCATGACACAACTAGTTGTCATGGCAATGCGTGGAGAAGAGGGAGACTCTTCCTTCCTCCTTTGCATTCTGCACTACTCTATTAAAGGGAAGTCTGAGATCATTGGCAAAGCTGTCCTTCTGTTATTTTAAATGTAACGCCAAATTCTACTGTTCCTCCTTCACATTATGGTTGAAATCCCAGCATGTTATACATAGCTTTTGTGGGTTGCCTTTTACGTTTAAGACGGGCATCAACTTCTACTCTCTTGTGTTTGTTGATTGCATGGTGTGTTCTCTTGCTTCGTCTCTAAGAATCAAGTTGGTCTCCCCATATCTGCCAGGCAAGGTGAGAACAAGGTGTCACTGCTGTAAGAACACTCCTAGTCAAAGCTGTGCAGGAAGATGGGGTGATGCTGTCTTGCCCTGCCTGCTTTCCCTGCCACACTTCACCTTCACACCCGAAAAAGTGATCAGTTAGAGTGAAAGTTGGTGCCAAAACGAAGAAGATGTGTGGAAAGTGGTCTATAAATCATTCTCTCTGACTTCTTCATGGGTTTCATTATTTAGCAAAATTAATGTTGCCAGCATTTCGTTTCTGTATGATGAACTGTGAGCTGTAGCCCTGCAGTTCACTGTACTCACCTTGGTGAAACTCCCATCAGGTGAATGGGTCTCTGCACAAATGCTCCAATTACTGTTTTGGAGTCTTAATTTATAATTAGAATTTATTTTTGAAGATCCAGTTGTAGAAGTACATTGCAAGCATCCCTTAATGCTTTACATTATGCAGCTAAGCCACTTTCTGTTTCATGGCATGAAATAATGAAAGGTCTTCAGAAGAAGATGATTCTACCAGTGCTAATAGACTATTACATCTGTGTGTTCAGTCTGCAAATACATGTGTGGTAGGAGAGGTTTTGTTATTAAGTGTAAGTCCGACTCATAACTGCTGAATACTGTTTCTTTTCTTAGGAAAGTTATTAAATAAGCTTGTTTTTTTGGAAACTCTATAGTTCTTTGCTGCACATCATAAAACATAAGGGTTTGTAACTGGTGGTTTTAACATAGAAAAGCTGTTCCAGGTCTGAAGTCTCATGTAACAAGTTTTTTCTTCTTACAAGTTGGGCAGTCCCAAGATAGTTATTTAATAAAGGTATTTGCAACCTCAAATAGAATGTTACGTATTTATTTTAGCTATTTATTTAATCAGTTTTGGTTGTAGAGCTTTTCTTACTATGGAATTATTCTTTCTCACAGTTGCTGCAGCCCAAGCCATAGCAGAAGAAAGAAGAAGCCAAAGTGGCATTAGCCCTATTGCAGTTCAGACCTCAATAAATATAAAGACAGCAACTAAACCAGGTATAATTATTGGTCGTTGTTCTTAATGAAGTACTGGTTCACAAGGGAGCGTTAGTAGGGAATGAATAAAACTTCTTTTAAGAGGTTTGCTCTTTCTTCGGGAGGCATCAGAGCATAAAGCACCTCGTCAGTAGTTCAGAGATCCATTGAAGGTCTTTACTCTTGGCTTGCTCACGGTTCAGTTGGGGAAGTTGCCTGTCATTTCAGCAGAGCATCACAACAAGGATAAATGGGGTTTTTTTTGTGCTCTGATCAGGTTTCCAGTTCACTTGCTGAAATTTAAGTTTTTATACCTGCAAAGACTTAAGCAGTCTTCGTTCTGCTTAGCCTGCAACCTGGCTGTCCCACAGCACTTTGAATTTGGTGTTATGGGTGAACTGTCTGTTCTCAGATTGAGTTGTCCTGGATTCCTGTAATTCTTGATCACAGGAATTAATATATACAAGAATGAGGATCAGAAGTGGATTTGGAATGGGCATGTTCTCACACACCTGACTTCTGCTCAGGCTTTCTTTTGGCTGTATGCATTGGGCCTTCTAATATTGTGGCTTTTTTCTGCTGTACCTGTTAAGAATAGTGGATTGGTTGTTTTGAGGGAATGGAAAGGGGGGAAAAGGAGGGTATTCAGCTTCCTATGAACTTTTCAGATTACATCTTGGATCTCTCTCTGTATAGAGTGTGCGGTGCTTTGGTGTTATATGTACCTCTTGGGAAGTTCCATTATCCTGTTGACAGTAACAGCTTTCATCTTTTTTTTTTTTTAATTTAAATTTGGATGTTTGAAATACCTGACAATTGTGTGTGTTCATTTTTCCTTTTGACAGTGATAGATGGTTCCATTCTAAGAACAGAAGAAAGACAAAGACTGGCCAGGGAGCGTAGAGAGGAGCGGGAAAAGCAACAAGGTATTTCCATGTTTCGTTTCAAACACCATTCCCTTCAATGTTTATGATAAAGGAATAACTTTTTTACTCCTTGTTCAGTCACGTTTTTCACCTTGCTGGGGACAAGAGGCAAGGTCTGCTCTTGGTCTTGCATCAGTGACCATCTGTGAACCTGAATGGAGAACTATTAGATTTGAGAGGAAAACATTCAAGAGATTTCTGGCTTCATAGAGCTGTATGTCACTTCTGACCTTCCATTTCTGAGTGACCAACAAATAAATTTAGCCAATATCTTACTGAAAGCCTTAGCAAAAACACTTCTCAGAGTAAAACTTTTAGCCTTAGATCTGCTTCCTGTTGCCCTGAAGACTGAGGTTTGGGGAATGCTGATTCAGAGAAAATCAAAAAGGTTTAGCTAGTTGAATGCCCTGATTGCCTTGAACACTGCTTCCCTTGTTTCGTAGCACGCTGCAGTGACTCCTGGATTGAAGTGTCAGCAGTACACTTTATCTTAGCAAAGAATCAGAGACCCAGAGAAGAGCATCCACCTCTTGCCCAGCTTTATGCTGTTTGCGATGTGAATCAGTGCATGTGCGTGCAGCAGAGATGAAAGGGTCACAGGATGCCCTGCAGTTCTGGTTCTTAGTCTCTCAGCTTGTGAGGAGTGGTTTCTCCCTGGCCAGTATGTTTGATTCTTAACATGAAAGCCAAGCACTGAGAATGATTGAGTTATCTTAACATGGAGAGAGGATCGGACTAGCACACAGATAAATTCACAACTACTTTAGGTGCCTTATATCTAGATCCTGGTGTAGTTATCTGGTCTCTTGGGTCAGTTCATCTGTGTAGCCATGGAAAATACTTCCACTGTCTATTCAACCACGAGCTTTTTGTCACAGGACTTGCAGCTTCCTGTTGAACTGCACGCAGCTGCTCCTAGGTGGAGGCTGTGGAGAAGAGTGACACAACTCTTCTGAACTCGGATGCAGTAACTGGGGGGGTTTCCCATCTTGTCACTCAGTGCTCTAAAGCTTTCCACTATATCTTGCTCTAGAAGAAAGAAATGAAAATCACAACATAGAAAATTCTGCCTTTTGCTACTCAACTTACTACTTAATGATAAAGACTCTGCTGTTATGTTGGGAAGAAAAATACATGCTTAATATGGGGTATATGTGTATCCTGACTTTCCTGTCTAGACAGTAAGGTCTAGTGGCAGGAAAGGTTCTAATTCCAGCCTAACCTGGGGACAGAATTAGTCTCCTCCGTTGTCACGTGCAGTGTCATCCAGCTTTGCAAGCTAATCTTGCTGTATGTTCTAGCTTTAAGTGGTGTTGATTTTCCTTGGTAGCCTCTTGGCTGTAAGTTGTGTTGTATTATCAATGAATAGTTAAGTTTGATTCTGATTCTTTCTTAAAAACCTACAGCTGCCAAAGAGACACAAATCCTTGAAAAGGAGAGAAAAGCAAAACTCCAGTATGAAAAACAGCTAGAAGAAAGGCAGAGAAAGCTTAAAGAACAGAAGCAGAAAGAGGAACAACGGAGGGCAGCAGTAGAAGAAAAGAGAAAACAAAAAATCGAGGAGGAAAAGGTACTACAGGTCAAAGTTGTGTAGTTTAACCCAAACTTCTCCATTGTTTTGCTACATTACTGTGATCTGAAATAGAAAGTTATGGAAATAGTGAATGTATTGGAACATAAAAACATGTCCATATCTGTGCAGCGGGCTGTATAGACACAGGTCCTCCTTCCCCATCCCAGGCCTAGCTTTAAGCTCTGCCTGAGGCGCTCAGGACTTCGGGAGCTGTGGCTGCTGCTTGGCCACTGGTTATTTTTCACATGAGCAAAAATCTTACCCCATATTCCTAGATTTCTAGATTCCTTTCAGTGTATTTTGTAGATTCTGTTTGTAAATCAGCATGGGTGGCAGGTCTTAGGCTTTTCTGAGTTCTGTGTCTTGCTTCCTGGGAGCCCCATTGTGGTCCAAGAGGCTCATGTTCTTTTGCTTCTCAATTAGAATTTCTTGTATATGCTGAGCAGTTGGTAATGTTATCTGTGTAGCTACCATTTGCTGCTTTGAACTGTGTATTGACTGTTCTTACTTGGCTTTTTGCCTTTGCTTTGACCACATACGGACCACCAGAGCAGTATTTGAGGTGCAGAGCTCGTTGCAAGTTGGTAGAAGCTGAAAGTAGAAAGAAATGTATGAAGTTATGCCATCCCTTTTGAAGAGTAGATTTGCTAGTGTGTGTTAAATGGGATGTAGGTTCTGAAAGGGTTCATTCCAGGGTGTCAGCAGTAAAGGCATTACAAGCACATGTGCTTTCATAAGGTGGTTGTAAGAAGTTGCTGTGGGTCATTGATGAAGATCCTGGAAGCCTGCCTAGCTGTGCCCTTGGAGTCCAGCCATTGTCACATTGTTCTACCAATACATCTGTTTTACCCTTTTTGGGTGGCAGTGCTCTATGCTGGTGTTTGGTTATCTGTAATTGGCTTCTGGGTGTGTTCAGACTGATGCTCCATTTGAACTTCATGGAATAGTTCACATTGCTGGAGAACAAGCAGAAATGTTTGGGTGGGCCTTGACTGCAGTCCGGTGCAGTCTCATCCCTTTCAGCAACTACTTTAAGTAAAAAGCATCCCTTTTGCTTCAAGAGACGTTACCCCTTAGGCTATAGTACATTTATTCATGTAATTTTGAGGATGGTGGATATGTTTTCAGTGGCCACTGGGATGAAGAAGACAAGGGCTAGCTGATGACTCTTTGATTGGTGTTAACCTTGTCTTTTACTTGGTCCCTGGAGGAAGTTGACGTTGTCCATAGAGTAACACATGAGGAATCCAGCAGGTGGGGAAAATAGTGTGCACTTGACCTGTAAACCTTGCTTTCAACCAGAAAGTGGAAGCAGATCTTGACTTTGGTACTCTGACATTAAAAAACTATCACTTTGAAAGCAGCTAAACTGTGTAACCTGCTCTAGGTGACCCTGCCTCGGCAACCTCCCTGCTTGGAGTAGATAATCTCCAGAGGTCCCTTCCAAGCCCCAATGATTCTGTGATCTTAGGGCAATACTTGCCAGGAAGGTGCCATCTACAATTGTAAATTTAGTAGATAGAAGTGCATCAAAAAAATACATAGATCTCCAACATTCTTGTTTGGTGCTTCAGTCAAGTCAAGTTTATCATCTTCCTTAGATAAAGTAGAAGCAGCAGCACAATAGCAAATCCTGTGGAAAAAGAAGTGGCTCTCTGCCTAAGAGAGTCTTGAATAGGACTGAGATAACTGTCTTAACAGTTACTCAGTTATTCTCTACAGCTGTGCAACTTAACTCTGTCCGTGTCTCGAGCTGATGGCTGATTTCTGTTGTTTGTAAACTGAAGCCTGTGTCTTTAGCTGTGACTTTGAAGATTACCGCACTGCAGATACCTCTGTGGAAATATCATCTGCACATTACCTAATGTCTGGGTACTTTGGCACCTTAGGTTAGCTCCAGTTCAGGCTTCTGTAGCAGACAGGAACCTCAGCTTTATGTTTCAGACAGGTTTATCTTTTGTCAGAGAACAGAATCGTACCTCCCTTCCTTCCAAGCTTGCTTTGTAGTTTGTGTTGTGAAATGGTGTTGAAAGATGGCAAAAGTCCTGTGTCCTCAAGAGGGAGAAATGTTTGGATAATGAGTCCCTTGGCATCTTGCATTAGTGTATCAGCAGTAAATACTGCTTCAAAAGATCACTTGGGATATGACTATTCCAGAAGAGAAATCTGTTGTTGACACGTGTATGGAAACCTGGCTGAGAAGAAACAATCTAGCACGGTTACAGCTCACCTTCAGAGCTCGAGTACCCCCTTCAGCCGTTCCTAGTCCTGGAGACTAGGAACAAAAGCTTCTTTCCATCCTCTTTGTCCTGTCAGCAGTGGTTGCTGAAGTCTGGAGTTGACTGGTCTTTTATACAGCTTTGCCTTCATGTCTTGCTGGTTCTGGTCTGTTAATGCCAGTATCTGTTAAGACTTGGTCAGTGCTTGAATAGTTCTCTGAAAATACAAATAACCTTGTACTTGTTCTTTTGTAATGGAGAATTCTTACCACCTTTTAGAAGTAACTTCGGGATATAAATAGTTTAAAGAGTAAGCACTTATTTTTGCTCACTTTGGGGCTTATCCCTATTTAGAAAATCAGTCATGCTGGCTACTGAATAGGAAATCTGTTGGGTGGCTATTTTAAGTAAAGAGTAGAATAGATTATCTGTGCTTTAGCTCAACCTAATCATGCTTGCAGTGTTTTGAAACCATTAATTGCCGTTAATGTTCTTTGCATCATCATTTTTCTAACAAAAGCTTGTTATCAGGCAGTATAGATAAAACAGATTTCAGATTATACTGAGAGGGGGGGAATCTGTTTTGTTTTCTGGCATAGCTGTACTATGTTGTTTGATGATAGGAGCGATACGAAGCAGTTCTACATCGCACCTTGGAACGGAGTCAGCGACTGGAAACACGACAGAAGAGGTGGTCCTGGGGAGGATCTGTAACTCCAGACTCGGAGAGCAAAACAGGTAAGTGGCACCTTTTCTAGCATGACTAAAATCACACTGGCAGGTGCAGCATTGCTCACAGGGACCTGGGCATCCTTTCCTATCTTGGATCTTACAACAGGATCTACATGTAGCTGTTGGGGAAAGGATCCTATCTGTGCTTGCCCTGAAATGCTGCTCAGACATAGAGTTATTTTTAACTTTGGGAAGAGCCAGAGAGAAGCCACGTGGGAAAACACCTGGCAGCATTGTGTTGCCAGCCCCCAGTCGTCAGATAAGGGGAATTGTAATGTATACTGTTAAAATAGAGTCCTTCAAATGCAGCACATGTAATGGTGTGCTAAGACTGATGATAAACAGAACAAAACCCCCAGTTGTACTGTAATATGTTTTAAACACACCCTTAGAGTTCCAGAATGCTCACTGATGATGTGAATGACCAGTGATGGGTAAGGAGATGCAGTGGGGAGTGTCCAGACACCAGGTTCTATTCTAGATTAGGTGATGCATTTTAACATTCATTTGAGCTCAGATTGTTTCCTATTTCACACAGTAACTGTTCCTGCTCGTCAGCATTCTGAAATCAGAACAGCAAATCAGGATTACAGTGGAAAGGATCTTTTCCTGCTATTAGCTAACTAGAAGACCCCACCAATAAGTAACTTTGTATAAGTTCTTGTCCAGGAATAAAATAAAACATAAAATGCTTTGGTTCAGCCTATCTCCTGAATTGGTGGATTGGTGCTGAGCGTGTTTTAGTAGTGTCGTCTTCTGTCAGCTTGTGTTGACTTTTAAGTATTTACTTATAACACGTTTGAAAGTGCTTTGATATAAGTTATAATTATGATATCCAGCTTCCCCAGTTCTTGGTTAACTTGCATTGTTTGCTGTTTGACCTTGTCACTTTGCTTACAAACCTTCTTCTTCTGCAGAACAACAGACCACAGCTGACAGTGGAACCGGTGGTATTGATTTCTAAACTGTTCTTCTTCTGTTGCTTTACTCTCACTACTAACCTTTTAAACATGAGTTCTGTATCTCTGAAACTAAGGAAAACCATCTCCTTATAGATCTTTTCCTGGACCTTGGCCAGCTGTGCAACAACTGTGATCCCTAAGCAGAAAGCAGTCCCTTATGTTTTGAACTTCCCCTCCCAGCTAATTAAACTACAGCTTAAGTCATGGCATCCTGGGGGAATTTTCAGGGAAAGGATATGTGCATGTGGGTTTTCCAAGATGACTGGATACAGCATGGGGGAGGAGAAGTGAAATTCTTCCTGGCATGTATTTGAATACAAATTAGCTCAGTAGTTTTCAGCTTTTATTTATTTTCAGGGCAATTTTGAACCCTTTCATTGTTTCCTAATTTGCAAAAAGTACATGGTAGGGCTTGGTTTGTTTTCCTTTTGCTTTGTTTTACCAGCAAGTGAAGTAACATTTGCAAAATCAAATGGTATTTTGCTGAAACTTCATGTAAGGGAATGGGGCCTTTGTGCAGTTTGATACTCCTTCCACGTCCAATCAGATCTGTCCATTATCCAAGCATCATTCGATATATTACGTCTGTTTTCTTTGGATTTCTGGCATTTCCCAATGCACCATTCAGAGCAGCATTTTGGATCACTGATACCTTTGTCAAGGCTCTATGTTTAATAAGCAAAACTGGTTCTTGTGGCTAGTTTAAGATGATAGCTGAGACCCAGCTAAATGTGAATTGGGACAATGTGTGCCTGCTCACAGTATTGCTAACTCAATCCAGCTGCCTCGTAATGCTGACAATATGGGACTTGAAAATGCAATGAAAGTCTGACTGAGTATGATTTAACTACTGTGGCTTATCCTGGCAACACAGCAGAAGCATGTGTATTTTATTTAACTTCTCTCTTCCCTTTCTTTGCACAGCATGAATCCCTAATTTTCCTCAAAATCAGCCAGTTTGACTGGGTTGGTTTTACCTGTTCAACATGTGTTGCTTGGATATGTATATAAATGCAATTACTTTACTTTACATTACCAAATGCCATTCAACCTTGAATCTAGGAAATCACATTTGCCTAACATGTATAGAAAGCACTATTTTTTTTCCCCCTCCTCCATCCTTCTCTACCTTATAATTTTTAAAGCTAAACTTTATAACAAACAGTGTTCTTTGCTCTCTCTTAATTTATGTGAGGAAATGAGTCTTGTCTGTCCTTTGGATTGTGGGAGGTGCTGGTGAAGTTGGACAGAGCCTTGGGTGACATGGTTGAGTGTGAGGTGTCCCTGCCCATGGCAGGGGGTTGGAACTGGATGATCTTAAGGTCCTTTCCAACCCAACCCAACCCATTCTGTGATTCTATGAAGCACGTTAAAGTGTCTTCCAACAAACATGCTCCTGATGTAGTAAGAAGCACTTAAGCCATACCTTATGCATCATAAAGTGACAGGAGGAGGAGCAGATAAGTTCAGCTGTGGTAGCTCAATGTGGATAACTTGGCACCAATCTGGAAAACATGGAGATAGTCAAAGACTACAGGATCTGTTTGAGACTGTGCCTCCACACAGTGTGAAACTTGTGTTCGAATCCATGAACTGGCTGTGACAACAGTAATATTTAGGAACATGGACTGGTAAAGCAGCAGTTGTGGGTGATTGATAGAGGAAATGTGCTCTGGAAGGTGTACGTTCCACCAACCATCAGCCATTCTCTGTTCTGTACAGAACATGATTCATTGAGACAGGTACCCCACCGATGGCCTGAAATGTAAAAACTGATGAAGCCCCCAGGTCAAACATTACACTAATGGCATTGCTGTCAGTGCTGAGATGAAACATGCAGGGTGTGGGTCTGCCAGCAGAAATGGCAAGGCTGGGGAAAAAAGCATCTTTGATGACACAGTCCTTGTAAATGAGGGAGGTTTAGTGGTGACTGCGGAGCAAAACGAGATGTTCAGGTGCATCTGTAGTGGAGACGTGCTATTAGAATAGAAATTGGGCTGCCAGAGTCTCTCTAAAGAGCTTCCTTGTCCTAGTAGGAGTTCAGGAGGAAGTGAGGGACTGGTAATCTTGCTTTATTCAGCCTAATTTTACCCAGCCTTAGCCAGGCGGTGCTGCAGCTCCCTCTCTCAGTGGAGCTCAGTGAGAAGCTAGGATTGAGAGCTGCTTGCTCTCATGATTCTCCTAAGGTACCACGTTTCCCAGCTCCTTACCCAATGGCAAACCTTGCTGCAAGGCACCCCTGTGCTTGCTTTGGCTTTGCTGCTGCAGTTTGCTTCCCCCTCTTCCATTACACAGATGTTTGGGATCGGTGCTGTGTGCTGCTTGCATTTCAGATCCCTTGATACAAGTATTCTTTCTCCCCATAAAAAGATATTTGAGGTATTTTTTTTTAGAGGTACTGTGTAAATACCTGAATAACCAGACTGAGTTACTTGAGAACATCCTGTTTTCTAAAGCTTTTCTTCCTAGTGAATTATTCAAACCTTAAAGTTTGCAGAAGCTGTCCTGTGGCTGAGGTAGGGAAAAGGTTGAGGCCATCTGATCATATATTTGCAAATGTATTGACCAAAGAAAGCTCTGACTTCTCAAGATCTTGGGCAATTAATGCAAACTGAGAAGTGTTGAAGGCCAGGTTGGACACAGGGGCTTGGAGCAACCTGCTCTAGTGGAAGGTGTCCCTGCCCGTGGCAGGGGCTGGAACTGGATGAGCTTTAAGGTCCCTTCCAACCCAAACCAGTTTGATTCTATGACACTTTCTAGTAGAAGTGTCATCCCTTGTCTCTAACGCACAGCACAGCCCACCCTAGAACTTGGTAACTTGCTGGAATAGAATTACTTTGCTCAGTGTAGTTTTTCTTAATGCAAGATTTACTTGGGTCTCAGTAGGGGATAGATGAAATCTCAGATTTCGTGCAAGTCCAGAAGTCCTAATTTGAACCAAGAGAAACCTGTATGAAGCATCTCCACGGTGTTTGGAGGCTTCAAACTGGAACGCTTGAGTTGAGGCAGGAGCCAGGCTTGCTTTTAAGAGCAGACACTAGAGGGTAGTCTTCACCTTCCAAAACACCCAGATACATGACTTGGGAGTTTCCTGCTTTTTGTATATACAAAACCTCTCAAGGCTGTTTTAGTTATCCCAGTAGAGAGGTTTCATTCATAAAATGCCCTTTTTTGTGGTGTTGGGAAGGTAAGCTTCTTAACTGGCTTCAGTAGATCCCCCATTTCTCCATGGGGTCAGTCCCATGGGAACTTGGCTCTTGTTCGCTGTGACAGGAGCTTGCCACTTGTGTAGCTTCAGCTCCACAACCTGGTTTTCACTTGACATGGTTCTGCAGGAGGCCCCAGGCTCAGGAAGGTTGGGTATGGGTGTCAAAAGTACCATGCAGAGACAGGGCTGTACGTAGGAATCCTGCATCCTGGTGCTTGCTGTAAGGATGCTATAGCATGCTGGCCAATGGGGAAAGGTGCTGCCTCTGTGGTGAGTAGTGCTGCTTTCTCCTTTGGTACTTACGCACTAACAAGTTCCCATTAGTCTTCTTTGCTGTGCAATGTGCCAGGAAAATCGATTACTTGCCTTTGATGTATGGAATTCCATGTGGTTTTCCTGCTAGTCCTCCCTACTTTGTGTGTATTACTGTTTTCTGCTTACTGAGTTCCCACAGCAATGGGTATATGCTTTTGCAAGTCTTTTACACTCTGGAGTAGTGTTCATCCTGAAAGTACATTATTTGACATTAAAAAGCAGGTATTTGGCTTGTAGTAAACTTGGAATTTTGCCACATGAGAGATGATTTCTATGTGTATGTGTATGTCTCTGTGTATGTACGTACAAAGAAACAATTAATTCCTGTTGCGGCAGGGTTTTTTCCCAAAAGAGTTGCAAAATTAATGGGAAACATGAACTTAAGGATTAGATAATAGGGAAAAATTGGAAATTTCTAAAATATTACAGCAACCCTTGAGCAGGAATCAGAAATGGGAATGCTTTTTGCCTTTATTCCTCCAAAAGTGTTTGGTTTTGTTAACTAGTGATTGGAAAACTGTATTGACATATCCATGTGGAAGAAACAAAGGTTTTGTTGTTACTTTCTCTGTCTTACCACTCTGGTAACAACACACAACCTCAATAGCTTTTGCTTTTCCATGTTAGGAGCACAGGGTTGAAGAACCATGTTTCATACATATGCACAAAACACGGCTCCACTGAACTACGTGTCTTCTCTGTGCGCGTTACAACTGGTGCTACTTGTACCAGAACACATTAAGGTTTAGTGTTTCTCCTTAAGCAAAACTGGAACTGACTTTCAGGATGTAACACTTCCAAAGTGAGCTCACAGCAACGTGTGCAAGGTTCTTCCTGAGGTGTGTGAAGCTGAACTCTAAAGCAAGCACTTGTTCACACAGCCAGCAAGCGGTCTACTTCCACAGCAAACCTCAAGCAGGCAGAAGCTGTCATGAGTAAACGGTTGTCATCATCCGCAGCGCTTTTAAATGCCTCTGAGCAAAGTAAGTGCTTCTGTGTCTCCTGGTGGCAGGTGAACTGCTGCTGGGGAGGAGGCAGGGGGTGGAGTGACACTCCTCGTCCTCCCTTGCTGTGTAACTCACTTCATGGCTTCATCTCAAATGCGTTTCATGCAGTTTGTTAATCCAGCTTGAACTGTTGAGGGCTTTGACCCAGTTGGTGTGAGCCTCTGTTAGAGGAGAAGAGCAACGGTAAAAACTCCTGGCTTTTTTATTTTTATCTCTCTAATTATTTTACTAAAGTCAAATTCAGGGGAGTGATTGAGCCACAAATCATTTCACATCATCTTTAGGGGTTTGCATGCCTTAAATCACACCCCGAAATCTCAGCAAAAGAGAAATAGCACAAAAATGAAGTTTGCTGCCTTCTGTTACACAGCTTCAGTCATTTGATTGCCTGGGGGAAGTTAAAAATCAGCTCGGGTTTGACATCTTTCTCTTGTGCCAGTCCTGTTCTCTGTAGACACACACTTTCTTTTTAACACTACAGTTCTACTTCAACCAAATCAAGAAGGATGCAGGAAAACCCCTGATACCTGTGGAAGTGTTCTGGGTGGGAGGAGACTGTTGTGTTGTGACCTGGAGCTCTAGCATGACCGTAGCCATAGTGTGCAGCTCTGACACCATTTCTTAGCCCAATAAGATAATGTGATCTTGATACTGATGCTCAAATTAAGCATTTCTTATACTGTTAGTGCACACCCCTGCTTACAAGCATTCTGGGTGGGTTACTGGGCCAGTGACTACCAAGGAATAGGAATGGCCTGGAAGCCAGCTATTTCTTTACTTTAATTGGAGTTTTTGCACTCTAGAGATCATCTCCTAATTTCTGTGACTTCAACCTCATTTTGAATTGCAGCTTCATGATGGATGAAGCTCCTGATTGCAGCTTGTCATGTTTAAAATAGCACCACACAACTAATCTCGACAGGGATGTAGAGAATGAGAGTCAGCTCTGCCTTTCCCACCCTGTACATGTACGTGTCCTCTGCCTTCTTCCCTCTGCCCATCCCAATACATTCTGCAAATCATGGCAATTTACCTTCTCCAAATATAAAACCCAAAGAAATTAGGAAACACAAGGAATTGTCCTCATCTGCTTGTTAAGAAAACTAAAAACTATTTTCATGAGCACGTATCAGTTTGTTTAGCCTGAGATTTCCCTATGGGGATTCTTCCCAGTGTTTCATCTGTATCCCAGATGCTTTTGGTTTTGTGTTTCCAAAGTGGTGCAGAGCATTAATAAGCTAAGAGCTGTTTAATACAAAACCAAGCTCACCTAGGTCTGTGCTGCAGTGTTCTGTCAGTCTGCAGCCTTGCATCAAATGGGGTGTGCTGAAGAATCCCTGCCATGGCCACAGCTCACAGTGATTTTGCTGGTTCATGCTGGGAGGTGATGCAGCACTAAAACTTGTCCTCCTACTCTGTGTGCCTGGTGGGGAAGTCAGTGTATCTGTACTGGCAGGGGCTCTGAGTCACTGGGGACTGCTTGTGATTTAGAATGATATTTATATATCATGTGTCTGCAGGGTTCAGCTCTGAGTGTGAGTCAGAAACAGGGCTGTAAAACACAAGCGAAGCTGCTAACAAAGTCACTGATTATGAACTAATTGGGATTGCTTTCAAATTTACTTGAAATCCTTTGAATCCTGATTTGCTTGGGAGGAGAAATTCCCAGGTGGCCTGAAATACAAGACATTTGGACAGGACTTCAACTGATCCACATGGTCAGGATGTAGAGGTCAACTAACTGGCTGATTTGGATCACCCCACGAGTTAGAGTGGTTCCTGATCTGGCACTAAGGAGAAATGGCTGATTGGTAAAAGATGGCTGGAATCAGATGACAGAAAATGCAGTCTCAGAATTAATGTTTTATATAGAGTAATTCTTCCCCTATCCAGTTTTCCTGCTTCTGAAGGGTTCATGCTATAAAGTGATTTAATTACTCTGTATCTTAGGGCAGTGGGGCAAGTGCTGGAGGGGACTTCTGGGCTTTTCAACATGCTTAATAAATGCACTTTCACTTCCAGGTACCACAAAGAGAAGTGCCTCATTAAACAGACTGAATAACAAAGTTCCTCCACATTCCCAGCAGTCAGCACTCAAAGGTTCACAGGTGGAACAGAAAGGTGCTAGAAACCAGTTTGTTTTGAGAATTGGGAGGCAGTAAATGGGATATTTGAAGTTGACTTTTTTTCCTGTTTGAAGTCTTCCGAAACCTAAAGGGGGGAGCTACAAGAAACCTGGAGAGGGGCTTTGGACAAGGGATGTAGGAACAGGAAAAGGGCAATGGCTTGAACCTGCCAGAGGGGAGATTGAGATGAGCTCTGAGGCAGAAGCTCTCCCCTGTGAGGGTGCTGAGGCGCTGGCACAGGGTGCCCAGAGAAGCTGTGGCTGCCCCATCCCTGGCAGTGTTCAAGGCCAGGTTGGACACAGGGGCTTGGAGCAACCTGCTCTAGTGGAAGGTGTCCCTGCCCGTGGCAGGGGTTGGAGCTGGAGGAGCTTTAAGGTCCCTCCAACACAAACCACTCTGGGATTCTGTAACATTCAACCATGTCCCAGTTTCATTGTAAGTGTTTTTACTCAGGTTTTCGTTGCTGTGTATGTAGTCTGTGAACTGTGGCACAAATATTGTTATGCAGGTTGCAGTGCCAGAGATTGGGTAACTGTGTCTAAAACCCAGCATTATTCCTCTGAAAAGTGGCAGGGTGGGGGGAGAGGAGACACATGGTAGCCAAACCATTTAACTCATGAGAAAATAGTGCTTCATAATGATGGATCAGTGGGTTTAGACTGGCAAAAGCAAAGGATGGGAATGGTAGTTTAGAGAATCATATATCTAAATGTCTTGTTAAAAATAATCTTCCTTACGCTTGGTCTCTAGGAGGAACAGAAAAGAAGAGGAGCACATCTTTGAATAGAATGAATAGTAAACTCCAATCCTCTCCAGAACTAGAAAAAGTGAAAAAGGAAGAAAAACCAGGTGGTTGTTTCATAAAGCTGACTACTTCTTTTTAAAGCTATTCACAGTATAAAGTTTGGATAGGTCACCTTTCATTGGCTTCCTTGCTTCTTATGGTTTTAGGACTTTTTAATGGCTTTTTAGTTACCCAGTGGTGAAGATAAAATTGTAAATGGTAAAGGTTAAATTTGTCCCTTTGGACCAGAAAGAAAGACTTTGACTTTGTTAAACAGCTATCTGTAAGCAGATAGCAGAATGTCTCTCTGCTAGAGAGAGATGTATTTGAAAGCTGATAGGCTTAAATAGAGTAAAAATGTCACTGATGTGTACGCTTCTTAGTTAAATCTTACCTTTACTTTTAAGCTCTCTTTCTTTATTCGGTTTAAAAGCAACTTCTCTGTTCCAGCTGCTGGCCTAAACTTTGTGCATGCAGGTGAAGGAAGAAACCTGTTCTCACTTCAGTTTCCTTTGGTCTGTGTATTCCCCACTAGGTTACAGATAACCTCTCTTCTAGGAACGCTTCCTAAAGCTGAAGACTAGCAACTTTTCTAACTTGTTTCTCCCCTTTCAGTTAACAATTCTGAAACTTTCCTTTAGCAGCCCTTGCCAACAGTGGAAATGATATTCTGCTTTAGAATCGTTCCTGTACGGGAGGGTGATGGGTGCTGTCTGTGTGAATCTGTGTGCAAATGATGCCTGACCATAACCATGCACTCTGACTTGCAAGTCTTCTGTTCATGATGCCAGAGCAGCCTTGCCTGCAATCTAGAGAATAGAGCTCTGAAGAGCTAGGTCAGAAACTTCTTGTGCTTTGACTGACTTCAGCATTCACCTCTGTTGTACACGTGCCAGTCTTTGCACGTTAGTACTAAGCAAGCCAAGGACAAGAAGTGCCACATAAGATTGCAGTGTTTAACCCTGCTGTGCTTTCAGTTCGGATTTCCCTCTCCATGACCTCAGTATTTTTCTTCCACAGCTGTTATGATTTGCAGCAATGCTCACAGCCTTCCTTTGCTTTGTACTGCTTGTCTTTTTTTCATTATATGATTTCATGTTGGATCCTTTTTGATTTGTTCCCATCATTTAGCTCGTCGCTCCCAGCTCAGTCCTCTGGACAGTAGCGTACTCAGTCGCCTCCTCGCCCCTACACAGGCCTCCTTAGCTAGGAGTAAAAGTGCTGCTACATTATCGGCTGATGGACAGGATCCCTCAGGTAACAGGAGGGCAGCAAAGCCTCCAAGTCCTATGCAGTTGAAAGAACTTGCATGATAGTTGTTAACTGTGCTACACTTCAGTGTGAATCAGACAGTTAATACATGGTTATGTGTAACACAACTTACCCAAGGTTTTCTCTGGTCAGTAATAACCAATTCGTGTGCCACGTTGCATGTTTAGTTTACAAAACCATAGAGTAATACTGGCTTTTAAACCCAGTGCCAGTTTAACTGCTCTGCAGAGAACCAGATGCTGGTGTTGGGCTTGGGTTTGTTTTTTAACTGGCAGAGATCTCCATTTGGGTGTAGTCTCAAATGAACCTGAGACGCACTGGTCAGACATCAGTGCTAAGAAATGAAAGGGGGAAAAACCCCAAGCAAGTGTATAATTTCAAAGGAGGCTCCAAGGAATAAATGCAAAGCCTGAATTTATTTAGGTGGAGAAACTCTTGTAGGAAGATGACAAAGGGGTTATCTTAACGGGGAGCCCTGAGCTGGCTTCACTCAGGCTGATTGTGGAAGTAGAGGTATACTAGCAGGAGAAGATACTATAGGTATCATAGAGAAGCCCTTGCTGGCTTGAGCAATTTTATAGTGGTCCAGACTGAGCTGATAAGCCCACACTGTGCCTCAACTTAATACTAGCACAGGAATTTGCCTCGTGGGAAGCCCTGGCTGCATCCCACATGTCTGATAATTGTTACTGGTTGCAATAATGGCCCAGTAATGCACACCTGGAACCAATGTGGAGTCCTTTCTCCTCTCTTACCTTACAACTCGCATTCCAGTTTTGCTTGTTTCCTCTGAAGTGTGTTATTCCATCTTTATTTTTAATCCTGTGCCACTTGACTTGGTCCTTGTTGGTACCAGTGGCATTTCTGCACTGCTCCCCTTGTGTAATCATCAGTTTTTCATGTACTGGTTTGTGGTCAGTGGTCATATTTTTGCACACCTATCTCTGTGCCACTTTTATTTATCATGAATAGTTCAGTTCATGTCATGTGAGGAAATCCCATCTTTTTCACTGTTACTGACAGCATGTGACTTATTCACTTTTGCTGAATTCAAGATAACTTCTATGGTTTCATCAGTTTACTTAAAGGCACTTCCTTCATTTCAGTAGGAAGTACCTCTGCTTTAGCACAAGCTCTGCACACACAGAATGCAGGTCTTGCACAAGTGCTGTCTATATAAAAATAAAATGTATTTTCCAAGTTACAGAATCAAGTGCTGCATCTGTCACAATTTATTCAGGCTGTAGAAAACTCCAGTCTCTATTTTTACACCTGTGTATGCTTACCTGTGTCATGTTAGTGAAAAAGCAATTAGAAGGTACAGTTGCTTTCAGTGTCTTACGTGTGAAGGTACTTCAGGTAGGAAGGGTAGTTTAGTTTAATGGTTGATGTTTTCCTCTCAGTAGGTTTCTTTTTGCACCACCTATTTTGATTTGTTAACTTGGATAAAGGGCACAAGCATATAGTGATAAAGGGATCAGAGAGGGAAAGTAGAATAGTGTTGTACAAATGCTTATTTCACAAGAAAAGGTTGCAAAGTAATGCCCAGATTCCTAATGTGATGCTGCTTTATCACAATAATCACAGTGATTTACTCAAGTGTTTGCTCATTGACAAGAAGGAAGATTTCCTCCTTGAGTGTGGGGGAAACATGCTTCACATTTGAACCTGTCATGAAGAACTCATAAAGAAAGATGCTAAGCCATTAAAACTGAGGTATTTGTGATGAGATGCAGCTTGATAAAATGAAAGTAACACTGGTGCATACAAATTCGGGCCGTTTTTGGAAAAGCATTTTATTTTTACCTACTCCAGACTGCTGCTTTGAGAATGGTTTTATTCTTGGTGCTGTTGCTTCCAAAGTACTAATTGTGTGGTGGTGGTGTCTGTGTCCGTGGCCCATTGCAATGTGCACTGCCTGTGGTGTTTCTCTGTATGGTTTCTAACACACACAATCTTTCTTTCTCTCTTTCTCCCTCTTCCTTTTCTCCTGTTCTTATGCTGTGCACTTGGTTCTCGTTTTGTCTTGTCAAATTCCTAACTTTTATAGAATCTCACCTCTGTCCTCGTTCAGCTTCAGCCAGTTCCATCAGTTCCCCAGTCCCAACTCCTAAAGTGCCCGTGCGCAGTCGTAGCATCGACAGATTGAAGTCCTCTGTATCTTCATCTGATGCAAGTTCACCAGATTCAACCCAGGTTTGTTGAAAATCCACAGGAATTAGGTTTGTATTAATTGGGATGGGGGAAAACAGCTCAAGATTGGATCCTGTTTCAACAGTTTGCTTACTGAAATGTTCAATAGCATTTGAGAGGGCGGGGCTGGAGCAGCCTGGGGAAGAGAAGGCACCTGAAGGGGACACCTTAGAGCAGCTCCAGTGCCTAAAGGGGCTACAGGGAACCTGGAGAGGGGCTTTGGACAAGGGATGGAGGGACAGGACAAGGGGAATGGCTTGAACCTGCCAGAGGGGAGATTGAGATGAGCTCTGAGGCAGAAGCTCTTCCCTGTGAGGGTGCTGAGGCGCTGGCACAGGGTGCCCAGAGAAGCTGTGGCTGCCCCATCCCTGGCAGTGTTCAAGGCCAGGCTGGACACAGGGGCTTGGAGCAACCTGCTCTAGTGGAAGGTGTCCCTGCCTGGGGCAGGGGTTGGAGCTGGAGGAGCTTTAAGGTCCCTTCCAACACAAACCAGGCTGGGATTCTATGACTTAAAAACCACTGTGTTGAAATCAAGTTGGGATTTTATGGTCCTTGATCTCTTTGGTATCCTTAAGCATATTGTTTGCTCCTTATGGCTCCCAGAGTTTAATTTAGGTAACGTGTTGACTGGGTCTGTGTTTTGGAACATAAAGAAAACATAAAGTAGATCTTGTTGAGAAGTTATTTTGGGGTAGCAACTCCTCTGTACTGCACTCTAGAGAGTGAGCATTGTTTTGTTCTTATGTGCCACATTAGAAATCAGAGACAGACAAACCATCTCCAGGTTCTGGTTTAAGACGCCCTCCCTCGCCCTCTGTGTCTGCCCGAAGAAGATCCCCCTCTCCTGCTAATCTGGTGAAGCGTCCTCCATCACCTTCTACAGTTAGGTATGCATCAAGTTAAATATCTCCTTTTATTCACAACAAAAGGAAGGATGCTTCCTGTCTCAGGACAGCTGTGCTGTTAGAATTTGGATGCCCAACGCTATGCCATGTTACACACACAAGCACCTCAGTTCTGGTCCGATTTCTCTTTTCCACAGTAGGGCTGCAGCTCTTACTTGAACCTCTGTCTCTTCTGTGCAGACAACACACACCCTGTTTTTCTGTACAGTCTGTGCACTAAAAGCAACAGGAAGCATGTGAGCTGCTGAATAGACTCATCTGCCTGTATCAGCGTAGGAAGTTTCTTGGAGTGGAATCACAGGGTGATGTGGAGTTAAATGATGAACCTGATTTGATCTTAGCCCCCAAATAGTGAGTCTGGGTGCCCAGGGTATTTTGGAATCCTGTATTTGAGTTGTATGTTGAAGGCACGAGTAATTTGTGGGTGGATTTTGTTTTAGAAGGGAGGTAGGTGATGTAAACTAACCCAAGCAGTTGCTGTCCTCAGTTATATGTTAGCCATGAAAAACATTGCTTATTCCAACAGGCAGAAGACTCGCCCACCTTCCCCTGGTGTGTCAAAACAGAGGCCACCATCTCCTAGTCCAGTCTCTAAATCAGCACCCGTCCAACGTCCACCTCTCACGCCTGGTGTTATGAACATTACCAAAAAGAAAACTGAAGCAGAGAGCAAACCAAAGGATAAGAGCACAGAAGGAACAGGACAAGAGCAAGGTGTTTCAGCAGCCGTGGACAGGGATGTGGTAGCAGCTAGCACAAAGACCAAAGAAGGTGAGTGCTTCTCTATGACTGACACCTTATTCAAGACATCTCCGGTGTGGGCTAGGACTGGTGAAATCATTTGTGTGTGAGGCAGGGTCCTGGAGGGAAAGATGCTTTAAGGCAGCAGCTGTTCATTGCTAATTATTTATACAGTAATTTTATGTGGTGACATTTGGGTGCGGGTTTTAGTGCAGTAGCTGGTTTATTTCACTTGGAGATTTAAGTCAGGAGCTTTCAGTGTTACTTCTTGCACTATAATTTTAAGGAAAGCAGAAATCCTGTTTGCCTTTTGGACTTCAGTCACAGTAAGTTGAGGGATCTCCTAGCTTAGGTTTGCAAAGTCAGTAGTTTAACTGTGCAAAGGGCTTTCAGTCCGGTTGGGAGTTCTTAAAATTGCTTGTGTAAAGGACCTGCTTGGAGGAGAAATCAGCTCCTGGTGCGTGACAGGCTGAGAGCTGGTTCTCACAAAGCTACAAGGCTGCCTCAGTCTTGATTCCTGTAATCATTGCTGCCTCAGGAAGCAGTGGCCAGTTCACAGGTCACACTGAGAAATTAGCATGGTAGGTTAAGGAGAGACATACAACAGATAAGCAATTAGTTTCCTAGTCCTCTTCATCGTGACAAGTAGGCCCAGCCTCTGTCTCTCTTACTGGAAGAATGCCATCTGCTGTCTCCAGAACAGAATCTGGGAGAGCCTTCTGATGAGGTTTCTCTTTGGAGAACTTAGGGGAGACTTAACAGGAAAAGGAGGGATCTCTGGACTGTAATTACAGCCAATGGGCAGTACTGGGGGTGGAAATCCTTCAGACAGCAGGTAAGTGGGAACACATGCTTGCTGCATGTCACTGCATGTACGTTCCTGTTGTGCATTCCTCTGCTGCTGCAGTTGTCTGTTATTTCTGAGGCTCTTCCTGGCACTGCTCAGGATGTGGAGTAGTGTTAGTCAGCTAAAGAACTCATTTATGGTACAGTTCTTTGAGCATGTGTTCCTCTAGAAGGAAGCCTGGATGTCATAGTCCAGTGTGGAAGTTTGTATGAAGTCACACATCCGTCTTCAGTGTCACATCGCTTATCTTTGCAGTCAGAATGTTCATCCTTCAGTGTGCTCCATCACTGTGGTAAATGTCTTGCATGCCTCAGAGGGGGCATAGTCAGTTGTGATCTGTGTCATTGGTTGGTTGGAACCTCCATAACAATATGTCCTGTTTCTGTATCTTCCAGTTGTTCTGGAACAAGAACACCCGTCCTTGTTCCTTGGATGCCCCACCTTGTCTGCTCTACACTGACTTCTGGAACTGTGCTAACCCAGTTTATCTATTTTACTTTATTGCTAATCCTCAAGTTACTCATCTTGGTAGTGATTCATGCTAGGGCTGGTGAAGCTCTTTGACACAGAAGATAAGGAAATAGTGGGCATAGAGATGACTTCATTATCTCTTTGAATGTGTTGGTACGCTGCAATATTGCCAAGTGAGGCAAAAATCTTTGTTCTTAAAAAGTGCCTTTCAATTTTCAAGCCAATTTTCATTTTACACCTCTATGCAGGCAGTTTACCCTGTGGGTTGGTGCAATACCATATTCCAGGCAGCTTCTGAAGTCAGAGTACATCAGTGAGTGGCATGTGGCAAATCAGTCTCTAGGTGCTGTAGGTTCAACCTGCTCTCAGCTTTGTGCACTTGCACCTTCATACCATCTCTTCTCCTTCAAACTGAACTTGATTGCTTGTTGCTGACAGACAGCAATCAAGTCTGTGTCTTGGTTTTTGTGTCTTCCAACTGAAATATGCTGTTCTGCAGTAAAACACTTCTTATTTTTCAGTGACTTGGAGCAGTTGTCATTTCTGGCACAGCCTATCGCAGCTTCTCTCAGAGTTAAAAGGCTTGTTTCAACTTAAAGCATAAGAAGTGCTCCTTCATGAGCTCTCACCTTATGCATGATGATAGGTAATAAACTATCATGGAGCCTCACTTTTTTGTATTGTGGTAGTGAAGGTTTTGGAATATGATTCCTAGATTAATTGTGAATAAATGACTTGCCTTGAAATGTGTTGGAATCTTCTCTCCATCCAACTGACAGGACATTTCACAATTGTTCTGAGACACTTCTGTTGCCTGTTTCCCTCTCTCTGCTTCCATCACAAAAAGGTCCTTTGAGAAAAAGACAGTTCTTACTGGGAATGACAGGGAGCACAAGGAAAATAGGGCTGAGTATAAAATGCTTAAGGCATGGTAGCAATCATATTGGGAAGTCCTATGTCCTGCCTTATGGAAACAGACTGTACAAAGGGTGCTTGGAGATGAAAGCACTGTTGAAGTAACCATATGGAAAACATCAGTAAAGCTTCAAAAGTCAACATGCAATGAGAAGGTTCCCCATAGACTTGAGGTCTTCTACCCTCTCTTCTGCTTTTATGCCCCCTGTTTTTTCCATATCTGAGGTGTTCCGAATAGTTGTGACTAATTTTCTTCTATTATTTTCAATACCAGATATTCATCATGTTTCAAGCTCTCATTGTCATGTTACAACCCTATAACCTAAAAGCCTAAAACCTTTAGGCTTCTTGCTGAGCATTGAGTTGTGTTACTTAGGTTCAATTTTGAGGAGGCAGAAAACAGATTAAACCTGACACTTAAAATGTCAGCCAATTTTGGTACAACTGAGATCGCAGTTGTGTTAAACCAGGATTGCTGCATTGGTTCCTGTGCAAGTGCACTATAGAAGATGACCTCTGCTGTAAAAAGTGACTTGTCCAAACTGACAAGACACTCAAGTGGCAGAGGAGGAGAGAGGCAGCTTGATTTCTTCATGGTTGTATACTGGCAACACTAAATGAAACCTCTCTTCTTTAAATAACAATGGAAGCTGCAGAACATGGGAAGAAAAGCACATGCAAGTCTTGAGTAGGCAGATCCTGCTGATAGTTCTTATAACTACAAAGAAGTGGCCTTTCCTGCTCAGGGAGGAGGACCAGGACTCCTTTTGGTTGAGTTCAAATTTGGAACTCTTGTGGCTGATTCTTGTTTGCACCAACATGACCAAATTTTTGCCCAGATCAGAATGTGGGGAGTTGCTGCTTTTTCAGCATTGGCTAAATCTAAATGTTAGAAGATTCCACTCCCCATTAGTGCTGCTTTTCCTAGGGCTGCAGGAACAATTTTTAGGCACAAACCACTGCTGTGACTCAGCCACTGAGGGTTTACTCTGTGATTATTCCCTACAGCTGCAGGCAGTGATTACGTGTCCATGGGGCTTAAGCAGCTTTCCAGGTATTAAAGTTCCTAATGATGGCATTCTGTTTTGAATGATTTGCCTTGAGGTCAGGAGCAAAATAACTGATCAAACCCTGATGTCATTTTTCATTCAAATTACCTTAACTTGAAGGCTTTTTAAGTGCTAAGCAAGCACATAGGTGCCGATTTGTGAAATGCTAAAAAGAAGCAAGGCAGGTCTTCACCAACATTGTGATGCTGTTGCTCTGCTGACAGCAAAAGCTAATTCTCTGAGCATTCAGGTGAGTTCTTAAGTCACATTACAAACAGTAATAGAGTTTGTACAGTAAACAGTTTCTAGAGAGTGGGAATAACTGATCAAAATCAAGAGTTCTTTCTATATATTGAGAGCAACTAATGGCAAGAGTGTGCGCTTGGTGTTTTCCTCATGTTGATTTGTAAGAGCCTCTCTGATGTTCAGACACCACAACACCAGGCAGGACACGATGAAACATAAACTGCAGGCCTGTGCAAATAGCTGCTGTCCTGGTGGCTGGAGCTGTCCCAATCTCCATGTAAATTGGGAATTGATTTGTTGCTGAAATGTGTAGAAATATGGTATTACTGAAGTCATTAGTGTGTGCCTTCAGGGCCAGATAGAATGGTGATTATTTGCACCCTAAGATACCCTATGAGTATAGAGGCATGAATGATAATGTTGTGGAACCAGAGAAAAAAATACTTGCTCTTTTGGGTCATGTGTGTTCAGTTTTGTTAGAAGGCAGTCGAGTGCAGTTCCTAGTGCAGTATTTTCTTCAGGTTTCTTTAAAGTGTTTGAAAGTGTTACAGAATAAACATGTCTCTTCAGAAACGTGTTTTTAAGTACTGTAGTAATTGGGCAATAACCGTATCATCTGGAATATAGCTGGATCAGTGTAGTTGAAATGAATTGTTATTACATGAGTGTCAGTGAGATACTGTTGCTCTGCACCGCTTTAGGACTCCCTTTGGCTCTTGTGAGCCTTTAGGTATGGGGTGTACTCACTGAGTGATGAGCACTGATTGAACAGATAAGTGAAGTGGCCAAAAGAAAGATCTCATCTCGCAGTGATAACATCTTAATTTAATGTTTCTGGGGCTTGTTTTAACAGCAGTTTCTCTTCACCTTTGCAGAATCAAGTAGCAAAACAGTAGCAGGGACCACCACAGCTGAAGAAGCTGCTAAAATCTTGGCAGAGAAACGGCGTCTGGCACGGGAGCAAAGGGAGCGTGAAGACCAAGAGAGAGTTCAGAGACAGGAAGAGGAAAGGTAATAGTTCAGGAGAAGGAAGGGATGCTTTCAGTGGTGGGCTGTGGTTGGAATGGACACTCAGCTGTGTGTTTCCTAAGCTTTTAGTTACTATAAATCTTCATGCAGTTCCTGAAGCAGAGACAGGCGCTAGCACCACTGGAGATAGGGCAGGTTGCTGTGTGTATCGTCAGTCTATGTCTCAGTATATATGTAATGCACAGGCCTTGTGCAAATCATGGCTGCATTTTCCATCCAGGCACCAGTCAAAACTAGAATGTGCTTTTTACACCACTGGTATTTGGTTTGTTTGTGTTTGTCTTGAAGTAGTCAACCCCTCTGTATTTAGCTTCCCTTTGATGAACTGAGGCAGAGGTTTGATGTACATTAAATCTCATACTAGTGATCCAAAATCTGAATCAGAAATGGTACAGCCAGGTAATTCAAAGTGATAAATCAGTGGGTGTTTGGCTCACTGCATAGAAGTTGTTAAAAAGCAATTATTAACTCTGTGGTGACTAACTTTATTCCAGATCAGGAGTCACCTATCAGTGCTTCCGTGAACATGGTGGAACATCAGATTTTGTCTGTGTTTCACTCATGGGTATAAAGCTGTCATAAACTTGCATATAGTCTGCTCTGGATGTTGTGTCAGTAATGTCATCAGATATGTCTGTGAGCAGGCAGTGGACACCTCCAGTGTATCTCTGGAATTCAGACCACAGATTTGTTTGACAGTGATGAAAAGCTTCAGTCATGTCATGGATACTGATGCTATTTATTAAATACTTGTTGCTTAATCCAGCTCTCAGTCAAACATTCTGTTATTGGAGCAACCTTGACTTAATCAGCAAAGAACATTTATGTATTCATAGATCGTTTCTTCCCAGTTATTCTGCTTTTTCCTTTGGTCTGGATGGTGGCGCTTGTAAATCCACACCAGAAGGTCTCTTTGCGCAGGTATTTTGTGACTGGATAACTTAGAACTGTTTTGCTTTCCTGGTCTCTCATGGGCATGCACACTTTTCAAGGGATAAATACCCCCTTGGTAACCTGTATCTTGGAAACACTAGAATCAGAGAAGAAGAAACGGCCAAGAGAGCAGTTGAGGAAAAAGCACGACGGGAGGAAGAGCTCCGCAAGCAGGAGGAAGAGAAGAGGCTGGCTAATGAGGAACAACAGAGACAAGCTGAAGAGGAGAGGATCCGCCAAGAACAGGAAGAGCAGGAGAAACTTGCAGAGCTCCAGCACCAGGTCTGCTTATCTGTAGGCTCCAGCTGTGCTCCTCACACAAGCTGCTGCTGTGTTTTTGAGGGGGTTGGCTTTGATTCTCTTCCACAGAACAGTTTTGACAAATCTCTTGTCAGGAATGGTGTAAAGCAGAGTTCATCCTGTCTGAGATGGATTTGAGAATGTCTTGAAGTCATTTCCATGCTCTAGTCTATATGATCTGATTTATATTTCTTTCAACATTTCACGAATTCAAGTGTGGGGCAGAAGCAGGTATTTGGGAAGTGTTTTTAGCCATGTGGGATGCTATTTGGCACACACATAGTATTTGTACTGAGCCCGCTTCACCAGCTTACTGCTGTGGATTACAAGGAAGTTGTCTGTCTGGAAAGTCATCTGGAAGGGGAGTGTTTCCAGGTCTGCTTTTCCTGTTGCTAAATAGTCTTCCACAGCTAGTACCTTTACAAAGGCATCCTTCTAACTGAAGGAAGCTGGTTTACAGCAAGTGGACTTTCTTTAAATACAGTGAATGTTGAAAATTAAAGCAGTTTTACAATGAGATTCTTTGTGTTTAAAGAGCTGGATGGCATTGACGTGTGTCTAAACGTTTATTTAAAAGCTTATGTTGAAGTTTACAACAATTATCCAGTGTTAACTATGCTTCTATCTTCTTTCTGACCATACTGGCAAAGATTTTCCTGTGTAGAAGGAACAGAAGATGCTCAGCATCAAGTATCTTGGTAGCAATACCTGACTGCTAAGAATTTTAAGTTAGCTTTGCCACCTTTAGGATGTAATCACTGTCCTCTTACTTTGTAAGTTATCCTTCTTAGACAAGTCATAGACTCATAGAATGGTTTGTGTTGGAAAGGACCTTAAGATCATCCATTTCCAACCCCCTGCCATGGGCGGGAATGCCTTGTACTAGACCATGTCACCCAAGGCTCTGTCCAACCTGGCCTTGAACACTTGGACACAAATCTTCCTCCTGAAGCATAGTTGGAACCCTGAGTAGCTCAACAACATTCAGAACATTTGCACACTCCTAATACAGCCATGCACATAATTTTTCTTCTCGGATGAGTTTCTGAATGTCATAGTAGTACCTCTGTGTCATGGCAGTGACTGGGTAATTGGCTTTTAGCTCCAGTGTATGGGAATGTTCAATAGAGATTGTCTGATGTTCCTGTCTGCGTTGAACCAGAATCTCTGCTTTTGACTCTTGGGAGTGAGTTGTGCGTTGGGTGCTCTTGTCTTTTTGCTTTGTTTCTCAGAGAGAAGAAGCTGAAGCAAAAGCTCAAGAAGAGGCTGAAAGGCAAAGGCTGGAAAGAGAGAGAATTATGCAGCAAAATATGCAGGAAAGGCTTGAAAGGAAAAAGGTACAACTGCTTTGGAAGCAGAGGTTCCTCAGCCCGAAGTGGTGGTTGAGGTGTTAAACTGAATTTAAATAGAAGTAGTGTGGGCTTTTTAAAAAAGCCAACTCTGGCTTGTGAGCTTTAAAAAGGGGGAATAAAGAAGTCAATGTATGAAATAGGAAAATGTAGAATGATTGAAAACTGAATGCTGAAATCCAAAGCTCTGTGTGTCATTGTGAATCTCTTCCCTGTTTTAACAGAGGATTGAAGAAATAATGAGAAGAACACGAAAATCAGATCAAAATGAATCCAAGGTACTTCCCAGAGAAGGCTTTGCCTTGTACCCTGTCTTCCTCTCTTACCCTTACACTCACTGCCTTCCATGTGAAGTGCAAGGTTCTGGTGCACCAGAATGATTTTTCAGTAGCTTCCCATTGTACGTATTCTTCTGCTTTGTGTATTCTGACCAAGTCTTTGCATTTTTGTTCAAGGCTTATAAAAAATGTGATCAGACGTTAGCAGTTGCAGACTGGTTAAAAAATCTGGTTATTAATGGGTTTCTTTTTTATTTAACTATATGCAGTCTGATGGGGCTGGTTTTCCTCAGAAGACTTAAACTCCTGCCTTCGTCTGCTTGGTTGAAGCAAATCTTGGGTGCTTCTTGGGTTGCTACAGTAAACTGGATGTATTTTGTTAATGTAGTGACCTATGGTTTGTGTTAAATTATGCATATTACATTGAGGAGTAGCTGGTTTTCTCTGGACATTCAAAGACCCAAGTCTTCATATAGTTGAAAATCAGTCTAGCATACACCTTGGAGAAAGGAGGGGAAAGGAGCTCAGGAATGATCGATAGGTAGGAGGTGGAAGTGGGTCCCACACGTTCCTTTGCAGGCTCTGGCTTAGCAGAGCGTGTGTTGCTGGGTGACCTGAGTGTCTCTCAGCCTTTGGACTAGTCCTGCACAGCAGAGGCCTGCACAGGAGCTGTGGTTGAATTGTTTGTGGAACACTAGAGGGTAGTGGGTTATTTCGACTAACGCTCCGGCAATTCAGTTGCAGAATGAAGGGAAGTCTGCCTCGGAGGCTATGGAGGGAGAGGATATTGAAGAGGAGGAGGAGCTGGGTCTGGAGAAGACTGATCAACCAGGTAAGGAAACTTGATGAGCCAATTATAAGTGGCTGTCAGCATCTTGGTGATGTTTAAAAGGTCACTTGTGTAATAATAGCATTGTGACCAGCTCAGACACAGCCCAGCAATGCCAAGGAGGCTGTGCTGGAACAGAGAGTAGATCATTGCCTGTTCCCTAGCACAAGAGACAGGCAGAAGGATTAAGTGCAGAAGTGATTTGGGAGTGACATGCAGGCAGCATGCTTTCATTTTACAATGTATTTTTAAAGATGGACAATTAATTCCATGTTGTTAGAGGCGGCTTGTTGAAGGCAAGTGCCTCCAGTTTTGGCTAGGAAAGGTCATTTGGCACTTTTAATCATTTAGAATAACAATTCTGTTACTGAAGCTCTTTTGTAACTACTCTTTGTTTTCCCCCTACTTTCAGGAAAACTGAATGGCCTTGACCTGCTCCAGGAAGTCAAGGGGGAGGCAGAGGGTTGTTTAGAGACTGCACATAGCTTGACCTCTGCACAGTCTGAGGAGCAAGAGGTGTCCGAGGTGAAGGGCACTGAAGTGTTTATGAATGGAAGTGACTTGAAAAGTGATGAGGGGTCTCTACTTGTTCCTGAACTAAAGGATTCCAGGTGAGTCTGTGTAGGTGGCTGCTTTACTGTCAGAGCAGTTATCTATCGCACAAGAAACATGTCTCTCTGTTGAAGTTAAATGTGGTGTGTGTAGCCTTGCCTCAAATTTTGCCCCCCTCTGTCATTAAAGCATTACTCAAGAGGGGAGGGAACAAACCTAAAAAGGAAGAATAACCTACAGAAAGCTCTAGAACATCTTCAGCTGTGCTGAAACACCAGATACACTATAAAAGCCTCCCTTAATGGGAATTAGTTTTAGTATTCCAGATTTTATCTTTTTGAACATAAAGCATTTCCATTTACTACTGGAAAATCTGTCCTCTGATGCTCGTTCCAATTGCTTATCTAAATGCTAATGATTGAGAAATGACATTGTGAACTCTTTTAAGTGATGATAAATTAATCTCATTCCTTGAGTGATGCAATATAAAGCCATTTTCCTGATTTTCTTAAGAATGAATGAAAATGGATCACTCTGATTTGGGTTCAGATTTTGAATCTGCTTTAAATATTCCTCTGAGGCTCAGTTTTGGTTTTGAAAAGTCTTAACTGGAGAAGAAAGTCAAAAATCACACTGTTAAGATAGGGGTTTAATGGTGCAGGACTTTCTGGAGCCAGACCTTACCTGAGAGCTATCAGTATAGTAAAAAGTGGCTCTGTGTTGGTGAGTTGTTCTTCCCCATTGGCTCTTGGATGGGAGATCCCGTGTGGCAGCTTGTCTGGGAATGCCCTTCAGGATATTCAGTGCTCTGCAAAGCCTGCAGGCTGCTATTGGCTGGCCTGTAATCAGTCTAAAGGTTAAACATGCAGAGATGATAACACAAGTATCCATTCTCTTTCTTTTCCTTAGCCATCCTGCAAAAGAAATGGTTATGGATGCCTCGGTGGAGTTGGGTGTTAACGAAGCTGATCATACAGTTGGACTTATTCAGAACCTTAATGGAAAAGCCAGTTCATGGACTTTTGAGGAGTTTATTGACATTGGAGTACATTCCAAGTCACCCAAACTGAGCTCGGACAGCATCTCTGCTGGTAACTGTAATCAAAACTTGAATGATGCTGCTACAATACCTTCTAGTCCCAAATTGGCTTTTGAGGAAGATGGTGCAGTGAATTCATTGACCAAACCTATAGATGCTTCGTCAGGTAATCCAAGCTGACTTCCCTATCTGTCTCTTCCTCTGGCTAGGTATTTACTTCCTTGCTTTTACTCTCCTTGCCTTAACTACAGCTTCTTATTTTCAAGGCACTTTTTCCACTGTGTAGACTGGAGGGAAAGCTCTTTCTTTAGTGCTTGTAACTGGAACCCTGTCAAAAGGAGTCACCAACTGATGCCTTTTTAGGGACTTGCTCTAGGCAGGAGCTAAGGCCCATCATTAAGGCTCTTCCAAAGACACAGCTGAGTCCCTGTGAAGCTCCTGTATCTCCTACCAGCACTCAAGCCCATCTGGTGTATTTCAGGCTGCTTCTAAGATGTCTTAAATGGCACATGCTAATTTTGAAGATACTAACAAACAGTTTAAAAGGTGTCTGATGTAACTCTACAGACAAGACCTTTCCCCTCCTTCTGTAACTTCATGATGCTGGCCAGTGTGGTCTTACAGAGCTCTCTGGCAAGGTATTAGCTGTCCCCCCTACTTACTGTAGAATAGCCTTTCACTTCACTGAGGAGGGGTAACACCAACCTTAAATTCTGCAGACGGTTGTGCTACATCTTGGGAGGAGCAGTAAACCTGCACACAAAATATTCTGGCTTTTCCTGAAAGAAGCAGGGCTGCATCTGAAGCCACGTGTACTTGAGAAGCCAGACCCTGATGCAGTACAGCATAGCCTGTCAGAGAGGCTTCAGCAAGCTAGTTCATGTAAGACTGAACTTGTCTGGTGTTGGAGCTAAAGCTATATGGACATGCTCACAGCAAGAGGTGTCTTTCCAGGAGAGAAATGACTGTGTCAGCAGTTGAAATGAATGGTAGCTGAAGAAGCAAGACTTTCTATCCACATTTTCCTCCAGTGATGTGTAGCACTTTCTCTAATTAAAGTGTAGCACTTTTCTAGCCTGAACTGTTTCCTGAGTCTCCTCTGTCACTCTGCGTCTTGTAGTCCCATGGGCACAGCCTTAGCGAGACTTCCCTTGAGGCCACGACTAACTGGCTTCTGCGTGATGCTGCTGGTGGCGTTTGGTTCTGATCAGTCACTAACCTCTTAGTAAAGAAAGTGTTGCCTTTTAATTTTGAGCTTGAAAATGGTCAGACATGATGTGGCTTAATACGTAGTTCATAGATAGAAAAGGAGAAGCTACTGCACTGGTTTTGGACTGTAAGTAACCAGGGGGCTCGGTGCTCACTGCCTGGCTGTAGCCTCTGACAGTGCTGATAGACCATGGGGCGTGCAGACAGTTATGATGGTTAAATGTTCTCTTCTCTTTACTCTTTGGACAGAACTGTGAACACTAGAGACCTGGAACTAACCTGAGTGCACTTCAGTAATCCAGTGTTTTACCAAGTACCGAAGGCCTTGTTCTGAAAAGCTGCTTGTTTACCTTTATCCAGCTTCAAGTTTGCAAAAAACATACAAAAACCACCAGGGAGAGGGATGCCAAACCTCTGCTTTGCACCTTGAAACAGTTCAGGGAAACTCATGCTGATGTTCCTTTTCCATTCGTTTAGCTAATTGTTAGATTTCCTTGTTCCAGTATCACTTGTTTCCCTTCACAGTAACCTGTTTGAGTCTCTCTTTTTAATTTTCCTATCACTGTCATGTACAACAGTGTGCCACTGGAGGCTTCCCACTTCGATCCTGGCCATATTTTGCATCTTCCTAAACTGGCACTTGATGAAACAAGACTCATTCAGTGTGTGGTTAAAGCCGAACTCCTTTTGTAGCATCCTAGAACAATGCTGTTCCTCGTTGGTTCAGGTGCTGTTTAAAACTGCAGAATTGAACATCTTCAGTTTTGAATGGAGAAGAAAACTTCCTTATTTCCTGATGTGACAATACTGGCAGTTTCCAAATGCATTGTTGGACCATCACTAATATGTTTTGATCTATTGGCAAACATCAAAACATTTTACAGCATGTGCACTAATGTATTACATTGAGTACCTAGAGATGTCTGTCATCGTGCAGTTTAACATGTCCTGCTTTTAAAACTGTTTCCTTTTGAATTCCTTATTTATCTACACTTATGGAAGTATTATTTTATTGTGTACATAACAGTATTAGACCACTGAAGTCATGTTTTGTCCGTGTTAGTTATTTGATGTCTTCCTGTTCTAGCTTTGTAACAGTGGCTGCAAGCTGCAAATGTATTTCCCTTCCCCTAAAGCCTGCATTGAGTAATGTTTAACCTCAACCGGGCTGCTTTTTTACAGCATGAAGAGATTAACTAAGCATCTCCTGAAAAAATGCTACTAAAAGTAAGACTGCAGCCTTGGTCCTGTAAGAGAGATCCTGGATAAGTAAGTAAGTGGTTACTTTACAGAATAGCTGTCTCAAATCCTGCTATAACCCATGGGCTGATCCTTCAGGTCCCATGAAGCAGCCCAGAGGCAGCTGTGCTTGCAATGGTTAAACACAAACAGTTTTGCTGGACCTAAACATGTTCTTTCCTTGACGTTGCAGTTGCAATAGGAAGCCCTCACTCAGCCTTCTTACTCTCTCTTTGCTACTCTGAATGCAGTAGAACTGTTTTAGCCTTTAGAGCAGTGCCTTAGGTGAAAGGACAGATGTATTTTTGTACGATAGCTGTTTCCTCCGGCAGAGACAATCATTCTAACAAGAAGATGCTGGGATTTTTCTCTGTGCTGATACTGTCTGTTGTCTGTTACAGCTCTGTGTAAATACCTGCACACTGTTAAATAAACTTTGCAGTTGAAAAATGCTTTATTTCTGTAATGCTAAGTGTTACCTGACTAGGAGTCTCCAACCCCTTGCCACGCTGACCTGCCTTGGGGTGTGCTCTGGTAACTACTCCACACTGCAGAGTCCCAAAACTAGTAGTAGTCTCTTTGGTGAGTGTGTGGTTGGGAAGTTATTTGTAGTAACAAACCCCTCTGGCTGCTGCTGTGTTTGTACATGCTGGTGGCATGTTCATAACTTGCTTTTCACTGTAAGCTCTTGCCTTTCACTTGCAGCACCAACACCTTTATGGTCTGAGGGTGAGTCCAGCAGGGGAGCAGTGACTGTCAAGAATAGAGCAAGGTGCTGTCTTGTGTTTTCTTGCAAGAGCTCTTTGTTTCTGGTAGGTGCTTGTGAACAACAGGGGATGAATAACTGGAGCAGCATCCAGTTGGTAACAATTTCTGTGTTTCACTGTTGTGGAAGAAACACATCAACCTTAAGCCAGTGTTGAAGGGTAGTAGAAGGGTAGTAGATCTGTGCATGGACAGTCCCAGCACATGTGTTCTCTCCAAAGGGCTTTTTCACACAGGCTGTTCCTGGCAGATGGTCCAGTGTCAGTTACATATTCAAAAGATGATGAATTTATGGAAATTGCTGCTTTGGTTATCAGCTCTTTAAGGGTGCTATGGCACCACAGCTGACTCTTGGCATTGCCAGTAGCAATGCATGAGACTCGATTTCAACAGCTCAGCCCCATGAGGTGGCCACTGTGTAAGTGAAAAACCACTTTTCCAGACTGCAGGACTCCAAGCAGGCACAAGCCTCATTTTTATTAAATCATAAACCATACACTGATAGGAGAGCTAGTGTAGTCTGAGCTGTTTTAAAGGCACTTCGTAACTGCGTGTGCATTTTGGTGTAGGTGAAAGATCGCCTTCTTGTTAATGGATTAATAATTGTATCTGGACAGCCTCATTTAAACAATGATATAAAAAAAGCTGAGGAGTAAAACTGGGGCAAACCATGCAGCAGGCGAGACTAAACCAAGTTGATGGGAATTTAACTACAGCTAAATATACTGCCAAAACATTGTTATATGTAAAGTGAAGCCATTCCATACACATGTTGCAGTTTGGTGCAGTAGCTAAGTTAAGGGATTCATTATTGAGCTGCTATTAATGATGTGATGTATGTAATGTATTAATGAATGTATGTGATGTACTTGTAAAAGCATCATAATCAAGGTGCAACCTTTACATCTCTGTTTCTGAGCTGAGCATGCCTTGTCAAACCCACTTCATTTCCGTGCCAAGCTTAAACGTTTACCAGGCAACTTTAAAACCAGCTTTTAGTTTAAGCCACACACAGGTTATGTAGTATGTGGATTGCTAAGTCTAACAGCATCTCAAGTCTTTACGCTAAGAGTTACTTAGAAACAAGGTTAGATCTTTGCAACACTACATGCTTTTATGCTGCAGGAGCTTCAGAAGTCAAACCCAGTCTATTGAGGCTACTTTAGTTTTTATACTAAAATGGAAAAACGTTTAAATGCTTAACATGCAACAACCTGCTCCTTCCCCAGGCCTGGTTTGGAAAGCAGGGCTCTAAACTCTGCTCTAGTCTGCTCCTTACAGTCGTTTGGGGCACTCAGCACAGTAAATCTTTCCATTATGGCGAACAAAGCGCTTGTTGGCCAGGCCACGGGCACACTTTGTGCATTTGAAACAGTAATCGTGCCAGGACTCATCTTCGTAGTTAACCACACTGGTTCCTCTTCCAAATCCTGCTAGGAGAGAAAACAATTATAGGACGGCGATAGTAGCTTTTCCCTTGGCTGGGTTCACCCACCAAGCAGCAGCTCCCATTCTAAGTGCATCCCATGCTCCTGCAGTCTCACAAGCTGTGTTTGTGTGCCTAAAATAGTAGCCAAAATCGCAATGGAACCACACTGTTGGCTGCTCAGTATTACTGCTCTTAGTAGCTTGAAACTTGGGTGGTTCATTTCTACAATAAAGCTTTTCCCCTTGGATCCTTTCTCCAGGAAATGGCCAAGCTGAAGGGAGGATTAAGATTTAGAGCAAGGAGCAGTTGGGCTCCAAACATCCTGCTTGGTTGGTATGGGCTCAGGCTGCAATGGAAGTCTCATGGGACTGGCAGGATGGACAGCCCCACGTTTCAGGGGTCAGCTTTGTAATCCAGTAAAATACATTAGAAATGAAGCAGATGTCATTTTGGGGCAATAAAACACTGCAGTTGTAGACTTGAGGTTCCTAGACTAAGATACAGATGGAACACTTCTAGTTGGGGAAATTCTGAAGGAGATAAAGTTCCATCCCTTATCATCAGATCGTACGTGAATTGCTGGGACTGGGCTTGGGATACTGGGCCTGCTTCTGGTGTGAGCAGCAGGGCTGTGGGGATCCCTGTTCCAGCCTCAAGCACCCAGTGCCCTCAAGCTGCATTTACTCCAACGTACCTGTGATTGGATTCTTGCAGCCAGCACACTTCTTGGCAACACATTCCTTGTAGCATTCAACACAGTAGAACTGATCCTCTACAGCCGTGAAGCGCTTCCCGCCCAGTTGCTTCTTGCAGTTGGAGCAGATGAAACACTCGGAATGCCAAGGCTGTTCCTGGTAAGTGAGGCCTCCGGAAGTGATGGGCTAGGAGGCAAAGAGCAGGGGTGGGTTTAGAGGTGGCAGGGAGGAAGAGAGATGGTGCATGCATGGGCTGGAGGGTTTTCATGGAAGTTAAAGAGTGCAGTGAGTTCCTCTGGCCTGGAATCCTGCAGCCTTCCAATACCTAAAGGGGCTCCAGGAAACCTGGAGAGCGGCTTTGGACACGGATATGCAGGCACAGGACAAGGGGAATGGCTTTAACCTGACTGAGGGGAGATTGAGATGAGCTCTGAGGCAGAAGCTCTTCCCCGTGGGGGTGCTGAGGCGCTGGCACAGGGTGCCCAGAGAAGCTGAGGCTGGCGCCACAAATAACCTGGGGCTCCCCCACCCCTGCTCAGATACTGCACTGCACAACCACCATCAGCTCCCACAGCGTTACACCACCAGCTGCTTGCAGCAGTATCAAGGAAAGAACATCAGCATAGGTAGAGCCTTGGCATCATCTGTCTCCTGCTCTACTCTTCTAGCTCCCACAAGACATGGGACAGCGAGTTCTGGCATTGCCTTTGCAAAGGGGCAGGACTTACATTCTTGCATTTAGCACAGGTCTTGGCAAACTTATTCTCATGGCAGGAGACACAGAAGAAGTCATCACCCTTGGGGAAGAAGCTCCCGGATCCAATCACTTTCTTGCACTGGCTGCAAGTGAAACAGTCCTTGTGCCAGACCATCTTCTTGTACTCAACGTTTTGGTCTCCTGCAACAGACAGAAATAACTTGTTAAGTGGGATTTCAGGCTTGTGGCAAACTCCCCACCCTGTGCAGTGGCTGTAATGGGGACAAGGGATGAGCTGTTAATTTCTGTACCTGATTTCAGCCAGGGCCTTCTAGGTTTACTTTTAATATTTATCAGACAGGAGCCTGAGAAGAGGCCCCTGATTCACAGAGCAAAGGTTTTGGTACAAATGGTTTAAGACTAACTACTAAGGTGAACTCTCCACATGAGGGTTAACTGCAAAGCAGCCTTTCAGCACTTGAATGAAAGGGTTCAGATGAGAGCAACGTTCAGAACTTGCACCGTGTTGTGGTGCTCCAGCCTTCCCCCTTGCTGCCCCATACCCCCATCTGCAACCACCACAGCCTGACAGCCCACCACGGTTCTGCCCTAGAGCAGAGCCTGGCAGTTCCATCACAGCACCAGTACCTGCAATAATAGGCTTGAAGCAGCCCTTACACTTGGGTGCATCCTCATTGGTGGTGCAGTCTCCACACCAAACCTTGTTGTTCTCCCTTAGCATGAAGGGCTCATCGACCAGGGACTTGTAGCACTTGACGCAGCGGAAACAAGTGTCGTGCCAGTAGCGGTTCTTGAAGTGCAGCTCCTGGAATGAACAGACATGCTGTGAGCAATAAGCCCCTCTCGCTCACTGAGGAGCCCTAAACCCATCAGCCTCAGCAGCACAGATCTCTTAGTTCCCTGGCACAATTCAGTGTTTGGAGCTGCAAGCAGTTTAGGGAAGGACACTGACCAAATGCCCAACAGTCGCATTCACCATGGGCTTTCAGGGCAGCAAAAGATGCTTCAGACCAACAGCTTTGAGATTGGAGGTTCTGTAAGTGTGGGCTCCTCTGGTGGTCAAGTTCCCTTCAGCTCAGGTGTACGTTGCTATTGCCATAGACACGGAGCAATAAATGACTGGCAAACTGACAGCAATCAGCCCCTCGCTTCCCAAGTGCTTTGCCCAAAGCAGCTCCCCCTCTCCCGCTCATCGTCCATCCGAGTGCTCCGCGCTCACCTTGGAGTCGGCTCCGATGGGTTTCTTGCACTCGATGCAGGTGTTGGCGCAGATCTTGTCGAAGCACTTGACGCAGCAGTGGCGCCCCTCCTTCTGCACATACTTCTTGCCTTGCAGCGAGTCGCGGCAGTAGAAGCAGTCGAAGCGCTCCGACATGGTGCCCACGGTGTAACTGCCAGGCCCTGCAGGAGAAACCGGCACCAACTTAGAGCACTGAAGCCCCCAAAACTGCTGCAGCTTCTTGGGTCTGTGCAAACAAGGAGTATCAGGACGGTGGCTCAGCAGCAAGCATGTGGTGGCGTCGTGCTCCTCGAGGGCTTGCTGGTGGAGAAGGCAGCACTGGTGGGGTCATTTGTCTTATCAATCAGGCAGCTCCATGGCTTATAACACACAGCGCAGGGGGAGCACCTTGTCCCCTCCTTCCCCACCAGCACTGGGGGCTGCAGGCTGTTCCCCTCACACATTCTCACTCCTCTCTTCTGCTGCAGTTGCTCTTGTGCGGGTTTCCCCCCCAGAGCTTAAATACGTTATCACAGAGGTATTACCACCATCACTGGTGGGCTCAGACTTGGCCGGTGGTAGGTTCAACTCAGCGCCAGCTGCACTGGCTCCATCGGACATGGGAGAAGCTTCTGGCAGCTTCCCATAAAAGCCCCCCCCATTACCAAAACCTTGCCACACAAACCCCATATGACAATGCATCAATAACACAAATCTTTCCAGTTCCCTTAATAGCCATCCAAGATACAAAATACCTGCCTACAGAGAGGCAGGGTGGGCTCTCTGGCCAAGGAGGGCAAAGTCCCACACTAGCCCTTCCCCATCACCTTCTGAAGAGGAAGGATACCAGATGGGTTTACTGTCCTGTGTCACATCAAGCAGGGATCGTGGTACCCAACCACTCCATACCAAGAGCCACTCAGTTCATCACAGCCAGACCCACTGCAGCCTCAGCTGCACAGTTTGTGTGCAGAAATCCCCCCGGCCATGAGCACAGCAGAATAGTTCCCATGTTCCCAGTCAGCTGCAGCCCTCTGAGGCCTTTTGTGCTTCCAGCTGCCTCTTTCCACTGGGCTTTCACATAAAGAGCCATAATGAACAAGAGAAGGTCTCCCCCTACATAGAATCCACCAGGCTGGAAAAGAGCTTTAAACTCAACCATCACCCCAGC